TGTTGGAATAGTTAGGCTAATTAAGTCAAGTGGTTTATTTGTATTGAGGTGGAGGTGCCGGGTCGTACAACGTTTGAAAGAGATTTACATCATTGTAAGGATGTCTGAGAGTATCTCCTAAGTATGTTTATCTGGAGAGATCTGGAGTTTATCTGGAGAGAGTTCCGGGGGTCAACGCCCCCGCGGCCCGGTCTGTGACCAGGCCTCGTTAGGTCAGTGTCGCAGGATGCGACCACACACCAGTCGACTAACACCCAGGTACCCATTTTACTGATGGAGAACATAGACAACAGGTGGAAAGAAACACGTCCAATGTTTCTACTCTGGCTGGGAATAGAACCCAGGCCCTCACCGTGTGAAGCGAGAGCGTTAACCACCAGGCCACCAGTCCAGTGGTCATGATATGCTTCAAGTCTGTCAAGTTGTTTGTCACTGAGTGTCTTCCAGTATAACGTTCAAAGCCGGTGTGTTTGTCATGAGGTGGAGAGATTCACTGGTGGCAAATTCGTCCCACCTCACTCCCAACACCCAACGTAATGCTCAATTCTGGATGCGTTGGAATTTTAATGCATTTGTCTTGGCGGTTAACGTCAGAGCGAGTGGAGAGTAAGAGAGTAGAGGTCGAATGAGTGCTTTTTATTGATGGAGTTTTGTCTTGGGACTGGCTCATCTCAGCTTATATAACCTTGAGAGCGCAATTCCCGCCTGTGCAGTCTTAGCAGTAATGTGAGTTTTTAGGTTCAGTGTGTTGTCGAGGGTAACACCAAGGACAACTGTTGAGAAGGAGCGTGGGATGGGGGTGCGGGAGGTGCTTGTTTTGAGTTAGACAGGAGTCGGGACATCGCGCCTTCTATGGAAGTGATCTTTGACTTATTTGGGTTGGTTTTAATGCGCCATAATAATTCCCAAGCGGAGTTGGAGTTGAAGTGACAGGATGGAGCCTTATATACCGCCAGGAGGTGAGATGTAGGCCACTAGCAGAGGTAAGAATGTAGTTGGACAACTTCTAGTGAGAATGGCTGGATCTGAGAGGGACGTGACCTGCCAACAACTACATTCTTACCTCTACTAGTGGCCTACATCTTTGTATCGCAGTGTACACCGGTGGTTCTAAGTCTTCTGACGGCGTCGGATTCGCAGCAGTTTTTCCGGACAGTGTCGTGCAAAGACATTTATTATCCTCGGCTAGCATTTTTACGGCTGAATTGTATGATATTCTTGTAGCACTTATCTGTATAGCATCTATGCCTGTGACACCATTTGTGGTCGTTTCAGACTCCCTTAGTGCTTTACAGGCTATACGAAAATTTGATACACCTCACCCCCTAGTTCTTTGTACCCAATTTTGGTTACACCGTACCTCTAGCAAACACAAAGATATTGTTTTTTGCTGGGTCCCCGGTCATGTTGACATACAGGGCAACGAATAGGCAGACACTGCTGTGCGGTCAGCAGTACATGACCTCCCATTTTCATATAGAGGTGTTCCATTCACAAACTATTTTGCTGAAATTGATACCCATCTTCGCACCCATTGGCAACAACGTTGATCTGATCCGCTCCATAACAAACTTCATGCTATTAAACCGAATATAGGTTTCTGGCCGTCTTCTTGTCACCAGTGTCGGAGTTGGGAGATTACTCTTTCCCGTCTTCTCAATGGCCACTCTTGTCTTACTCACGGGTATCTCATGGAAAGGAGCCCTGTTCCTCTCTGTGAGAATTGTCACATTCTGTTGGACTGTCCACGCTATCAACGAGCATGTAGAATTTACCTCCAAAGTTGTCTCCTCTCTGTTGCCCTTTCTTTATCTTCTCTTCTTGCTGATGGACCCTCCTTTAATCCAGACTCTCTCCTTGACTTTTTAACAGCGACTGATTTACTACACAAACTCTGATGATGATGCCTCTAGCACTCTCCTCCGTCCTTTCTAACATAATTTCTTGCTACCCTCTACCCCCTGCACTATCCACAGCTCCGATGAACTCCATACCCTAATAATCATCCCTCTCCTTCTTGCCACCCATTTCTCCTGCATCCTTCCCTGCCCTGCTGCTCTGTATAACCCTTGCAGTTAGCGCTTCTTTTAATTATAATAATTCTCACAAATAAAGGCACTTGTTAATGATTGATAGCATACTAGTATAACTTTATAGTTTTTGGAAGCAAACAGTGGGAAGACCTAAACAGTGTTTATGAATGGCAATACATAAGTAACGTGACACACATAACCCGCACATAGGAGAGGAGGAGCTTACCACGACGTTTCGGTCCGACTTAGGTGCAAGTCGGACCGAAACGTCGTCGTAAGCTCCTCTCTCCTATGTGCGGGTTATTTGTGTATTGTTCCAGTCACGGTATTGTGCCTTTTTTTTGTCCTTTATAAGTAACGTGACTCAGAGGTCATTAGTGGGACAGGTCGTCTTTGACACAAATGAACTGTTCGTTGTGGATTATGTTGCAAAATATAAATATTCGCTGATAGAAGCTGTAGAGGATTGTTATGTATTTAATATTACTAAATTACTAATATTGTCATTCATGGTCATAGAACGCTAACTAAAGTCTGCATGGATTAATAAGTTATTTTCAATTAGTTGTTAAAGCAGAACACCTGTCTCACGTTTTCTTTCCTTTAAAATAAAGTGCATTGCATGAATTATAGAAGCCACACATAGGATTAGCAGGCAAAATAGAATGCATAGTTTCCTCTGTAATATAATGATAAAAAAACTTGAGCAGATTCCATAAATGTTGACCTAGAACTTTCCCCGAATATCTTATTTTATGCCGCAAAGTTTTTTAGGTGAAGAATAATTAACATTCATGTATTTGGAATCTGAAAAAATTGCATGATAAAATAAGGAAATTTGTTTGGAAATAAGCTAGAATTTGTTAGCTTACCTAAAAAATTTCTGTATTTTTTCACTTTTATTTTAAATTGTAAGTTATTAATATTCCACAATTCTTGAAGGTAATGTCATGTAGTTATCATATACCTAAATTGTTCATCATTATATTTTAGTTATATGTAGTGGACAGATAGTTTGCTAATACATAGTACTTATTCCAAGGAAGAAAATAATAAACACGCTGATAAATTAGGTTTTCACAGACACGGATGGTTACTTTATCAAAGTTGTTATGTAGCAGTTGGGTACAAAGTCTCTGATGGATTATAATTATAATAATGGGGGAGCGCTAAACCCGTAAGATTATACAGCGCTTGTGGGGTGGGGGTGTAAGATATTCAGACTCAATTCAGGGAACTGGAGCACAGATCCAATTCCCTAGATCAAGAGCCCCTCACCAGCATCAAAGAACTCCCTTGAGAGAAGTCGCTGATAGAGTCCCTAGTAGCGTCCTCTCCGGTGGATGATACTGGTATCTTCGCTGTGTCGCTTCAAACCATCTCCTTAATGTTTTTGGTAATTATTATTGTGATGGAATGTAGAATGTGAGTTACCGTAATTACCTCAAAAATTTCCCTTTTGAAGTCTGGCGGAGGGCGCGAGCGTCATTTTTTTGAATATTTATTGTCAAAATACATTGTTTATAATTCACATTTTTCAATCGTGTAATTGCTCCCCTTTTCACTTAAGTTTTATTTGAAAATAGATCAGATCTATAAAGTTGACCTGATGTACACTTCAGAGTATTATTGGACTATACGACCCGGTGGCCTGGTGGCTAAAGCTCCGCTTCACACACGGAGGGCCCGGGTTGGATTCCCGGCGGATGGAAACATTTCGACGCGTTTCCTTACACCTGTTATCCTGTTCACCTAGTAGCAAATAGGTACTTGGGTGTTAGTCGACTGGTGTGGGTCGAATCCTGGGGGACAAAATTGAGGACCCCAATGGAAATAAGTTAGACAGTCTTGGTTATCCTGGGTGGCTAACCCTCCGAGGTTAAAATCCCAAAAAATCTTATCTTATGGCAACTCTTCACCACATTCCAACTATTCTACCAATCAGAATCAAATTTAATTTATTCATTACTGGTATGTTTTTGCCCTATACTGAGGCACTTCCATCAGTATTTAGACAGAGAAACAAGTATCGAGTGTTCTATTGTGGCTAATAGACAACGAAAAGTATTCAAATATTATTGGCATTATTAATTTACTTGAAATTATTTTGATAACAACTGTCATATTTTCAGGTTGAATATTCCATGACTTTTGCACACACAAATATGGAGAAAAGTTAAACACAGGGTAACAGAGACTCAAAGACAACTTACAAATTGGTCTAACAAATTAAATGATCTTAATTAAGCGCAAAATAATACATTACAAGAAAAGAAAATTGAAATGGGAATATATTTAATAAATATTAATAATGAAAAATTACTGAATGGAAGGGAGTAAGTAATAATGACAGACAGCTGTAATAAAAGAAAGCAAAGCAACAAGTGTTAAATATGGGTAAACTGAAGTTTTGGCTTATTCGTTGATTACATTTATGGCTTGTACCAAAGAAGTCGCTCATACACAAGTAGTCGTTGTACCTTGGCATGGGTGCGTTGTACTCATAGCAAAAAGTAACTTGTGTGGTACACACTAAGATGAAATTAATTTATTAAATTATTAAAGGAGACATTTCTTTCAGATTATCAACATATTTTGTATTACCACATTAGCTGTAGTTTAGCACTACCGCATTTTTTTTTTTTTGGCTCTGGACAATCGTCACTCGAATTTTTACCCATATTCCAGCTATGAAGATGCAAGAAATTTATTCTAAATAGGAATTCGTTTGGCTTCAGTTTTTGCTTGAAGCGTAGACTGATAGGAAGTTTTTATGGGATTTTAATGTTATTCCGCACTTGAGCCAATCTCTTGCCTGAACCACTAAAAAGCTTTATGTTACTGATTAATATGTAACCAAGAGACTAAGAACATGACTGCCGAATGAAATATCTAAACTCTGAACATTTTAATCTCGTGTGTGATGTGTTTAACTTCTGAGAGTAGTAAACAATGTCCCTCACACAGGATCATCTCTTATTCGCATGATGAACTACTTCCTGACGGAGGAAGCGTTAGGGAGGGGCCTCTCTAATTATCTCAACGGTCTGTAAGTATGTAAACATTTTTGTGCATAACGTATTTTACTAAACCATAGTCATCTGTAGGCACTGCGAAGGTCATTAAATTTTCCTTGGTTGGAGAATCATGAAATATGAAAATCACATTTTCTAAACCTGTCAAGAATACTTTACTAATTGAAACGCTATTTAGGTAAATTTTCATTGTATGTGCAATGAGACATGCAACTCTCGGTGCACATATATCTGTGTTTTCTTTACCACTGATAAATTATTAATGGAAAATATTTCTATATTTATTCAGTAAATCCGTGCATATCCTCGGTTATTCTTGCAGTAAAGAGTTTCAGATGCTTGATCTTTTTAAATTTCATGTACTGTCAGTTACAAACGTAAATCAGCAATCGCATATTCAAGACAGATATAGTAACAAATTTGTGACTGATATACTGCATGGCAGTGGGCATCTCTCCTATTGTATACGTGAGGATAAAGTGCGGTTAATAACTTAGGCATGGAATTTAGAAATAAGGTTTAGTAATAAGTTATTTTTAGTAGTCATTCTCTAACAAGGGGCTAAAAATACTATTCTTTTTTAGGATTGAGTATTGTATTAAGAAGCATCCTAGGAGACTGTCCTTACTGCAGTCACTAAGGTATAGAACAGAGGCTTAGATCAGGTGTTTATAGTTTACAGGTTGTCTGACCCAGTGAGAGACTGATGCCATGGGCCGGACGAGTGTCCATTCTTAAAATTCGTCAGTTGTTAGTGACTGTATTTAATTCTAGAAGTTTGCAGTGGTCATGTTGGCAAATTGTTTGTATATTTCACTCACAGAAGTTACCGTAATTTATGAATAAATTAGTTAAATGTGCGCTTTTATGAAACGCAAAGACCAAGGAGAAAGTCATCTTGTAGGTGTGAGAAAGTCACGTACAGTGTCACACTCACCACACTGTTTCAAATCACAACAAAACTTGCAGCTACATGACTTATAACATTCATTGAATATAAAGAACATACACAAATATATGAAACATTAAACATAATTCAGTATTCTTGAGTAGTAAGGTTAGAAAAATATAAAGAGAGAAGACTCAGTGTAATCAGTGACCTATAACGGAGATATATACCTTAATATAAAGGTTGAGTGGCTACTAAAAGCGGAGATGGACGATATAAAGTAACACGTCTTCCCTACACATAATTTACGTACCTCGCAAGCTAGCCTGAATCTACAAATGCTTGTCAATCATCTTGCTATTTAATATAACATTCAAAAAATATAATTACTCAGTGAAACTTACCTAAATCTATAATATATATATGTACAGTGCACATAATGCATCTTTTATCTCCGAAATATTTTCCAAAGAGAGTTTATATATTTTTTTTATTCAGCATTTTAGAAATATAGCATAAATATTTCAGGAAATATAAAAGTGCTAAGCAAGACGACCTGTGGCATTACCTGACTAAAGTTGCTCATGAATACAACAAACTGCCGCCAGACATGACAGTCAAGGAAGTCATGGACACCTGGACGCTGCAGATGGGTTACCCTGTCATCAAGGTTGTGAGGAGCTCAGACGGCACCTCGGCAACCCTCACTCAGGTTGATAATTTACCAATGTTTTGTTGTTCAAGAGAAAAACTCTTATACTATGGTAGAATGCCAGACTGTAAAACATAAATAAGTTTCATACTATTGCAGGAACGATTTTTATTGGTAAAGAACGAGAACTCGTCAGACACCCATGACTACAAGTGGTGGGTTCCACTAACATACACGAGTCAAGATAACCCTAATTTCAACAACACTCAAACACAAGTATGGATGAAGGATTCTGAGGCAAAGATAACAGTCTCTTCACTGCCTGAGAAGGACCAGTGGGTCATCTTCAACGTACAGGAGACAGGTTATTATAGAGTGAACTATGACGACGACAACTGGAACTTGCTCATTCAGCAACTGAACAACGACCACAAAGTTATCCATGTGATAAACCGTGCTCAGATCATAGACGACGCCATGGACCTCGCACAAGCTGGTACGACTTTTTGTTTTAATGTGAGGGAATGTGCTTTTTGCTGAAGGTCTTTTGGTGAAGTCACTGTTATGAACAGCTTCAAGTAATATATATTATTTTGCTGATTATTGCTATGCCCTGTATTTTGATGTTTTTTAATATCAAAGGTACTTTTTCAGTTTTATTAATAATTTGTCTATAATTTATTTTTGCGAGCATCTGTACAAGAAAATTTAGCTGTTTTGCATTTGTTAGAAAAGATGGCACTGCAAGTAACATTCCAAATTTTATCCTCTACCAGGTCAGTTATCCTATAATATAACAATGGGCTTGAATACCTACTTGAAAAAAGAGGAAGAGTACGTTCCATGGGAGTCTGCATTGTCCAACCTCAACTACATCAAGAGAATGTTTACCCGCTCAGGAAACTATGGAGCTCTTAAGGTAGTCATTACTTTAATTAAAATTAATGAGAAGATAGATATAAGTTGTTTGTTATTTGTGTACCCACTTCACACTTCCAGCATCAGCCATGACCCCTTTGCTCCATACTGTTGACAGTAATCTCGATGTAATAAGCTAGGATTTTTTTGGAGTTGTGGAGGAATTAAATTCTTGTAGAATTATCGAGCTGTGAAATGCTGTGTGACCATTCTGATCCATAAATTTTGGAACGTGACGTAGTACACCACATACAGTAAAATATAAAAGGCTTATGTAAGTATTTATCTTTCAGTATATGTTTCAGTCTCAGGTAGAAGCATATTCATACATATATTTGGTATAATAATTTTCTGACAGCATTTGTATGTGAGTATCTAAGTCCATGTTTTAAGTACTTCTTATCTTTACCACTCGGGAGAACAGAACTACTTGCTCACCCTCCTGATTCCTCTGTACGAGTCTGTCGGCTTCCAAAACAACATAAATGACCCTCATCTGGAACAGTTCAAGCGAGTCAAGGCACTGACGTGGGCCTGCAGCCTAGAGTACCAGGACTGTGTCAACAACTCTGTTTCCCTCTACCGAAAGTGGATGCAGAACGCAATTGACCGCAGGTAATTTTTGTAAACAAATTCTGATAGCGTTAAATGAACATCGCATTTTATCCCGAGATTGCCATTGAAAGCTTGAATACATTCTATGTGGATAACAACAAACAGTTCTTAATCGTATACACAGCATCGTGTCGCCCAACCTGAAGAGCACAGTGTACTGCACCGCTATTGCTGCTGGTGGTGAGGAGGAGTGGAACTTTGGCTGGAACCAGTACCTCGCCTCCAATGTTGGCTCTGAGAAAACAACACTACTGTATGCTCTGGGATGTACCAAGAAGGTCTGGATCCTATCTAGGTTAGTTTAACTTATTAGTTTTTTTTTCAATAATTGAAGTGAAATGTCTATTACTCTAAAAATCTACCGTCAGTGTTTTAAAATACAGATGTTTTAATTTTAATTATCAATTAGCATGTACACTATCTTGTCGTAAATACTTAAATTCGATATTCATATATACATCAGTTAAGAAAAATGAAATTTGATCAACATAACAATAAAACTATTGAGCATTAATTACTGTGCGGTTCAGGTGAGGAGCTAAAATTTTTCCACAGGTATCTCGAAATGGCTTTTACAGACGGCAGCGGTATTAGGAAACAGGATGCAGGAACAGCGTTCGAGGGTGTAGCCAGGAACAGTGTAGGACACTACATTGCCTGGAACTATATTAGAGAGAATTGGGAGAAAATTATTGACTAGTGAGTATGAAAAGCTATTTTATTTTTCTGTTAGGTCGTGTATGTATTTTTCAAAATATGACACACATCTTGCTGTTTTTGTAATGGAGAACTTAAAAGAATAAAACTCACTTTGCCATAATATGGATTCATTAATTTTCAGCTATGTGTCCGGGCTATTTACCATCCCTGCACTGGTTGAGTCAGTTACTGAGTCCTTAAACACAGACCTGGAACTGAAGGAGGTGAGTCAACATACCAATCTACTTATTGTGAGAAGTAAGATGATTAAATTACAAGGAGCATTGCGCCAGAAACGAGCAGCTGTCGCTCAGATTTTCAAAACAAGTTAGTCCTGAAACTATCAGGTCAGTGTTCTAACCACTTTACCATATTGGTCAGCATAGCTTAGTAATTAGGGCGCTAGACTGCTAGTATTAGAACTGACTTGCCATGGGTTCTAATCCGCGAATTGCTTAAAATCGTATTATTACAGTTACGTAAGATAATGTCACATACATTCTGGAAAGTCTAAGATGACCAATTCCACTAGCACAGTCTTCTCCCGAGATGTGAGACTTCATAGAATGTGGTTTTGCTGGAGGCACCATTTTGGTGGGATGCTCCAAGAAGTAGTACCGTGTCATCAGCAGAATGAATCTTCCACTTCTCTTTACTTACATTGAAACAAGCTTCTTAATCACATTTTCTTCGTCTAATCACACAAAGATATGGAGATTTTATAATGGATACAATGGACTGAAGTCCATGTTAGTCTTTATGTAGAAATTATAAAAAAAAAAAAAAAAAAAATACATGAAGCTAGTGAAGTTATGACATTTATGTCACAGTAATCAGGATACCTAATTTGAGGATTAATAATATACCATTTTAATGGCTATCATTTATTTAATATTTTTTTCAACAGGTCTTCAGGGTTCACACTAAAGCATTTTGTTTATTTATATTATTGCTACTTACAGCGCGTGCGTACACGTGTGTGCGTGTAAGGATAATTTGAGAGAAAATCTTTAAAAAACCGTGACATCTGTTTTGGAGAAAGGAGAATGCCATATAAAATTATAGTACAAATTTAATCACATTTACAGTGTTCATTACGCAGTAGATTAATCACTAGTAGCATTAGAACAACCAGTTAAGTCACAACTTTGACTTATTCTATTGTCTCTCTTTAACACTAACAACTCGTCATTAGCTCACAACTTCATTGCCTTCTTGGCACAAAAATCACTGTTTATAAACCTCAATGTGTACATGGGACGGTCTCATGTGGACCCGATTGTTATCTGGAATATAAGACCGGTCCATGAAGGCATTTTTGAATTAGTAAACATAAACAGAAAAGGTTTTGTAAAACGATAAAATGTTAGGGAGAGACATTACAAAGGTGGAGAGTGCATTGAGGCTTCTGTGGAAAAAAAACTCTATCACTGGAGGCAAAAAGGGAAATGTTCCAGAGTATAGGGACATCATCACTGTTATATAGGTGTGAAGCATGAGTTTTGAATGTTGTAGCGAGAAGGCTGTAGGCAGTAGAGATGTCATGTTTGAGAGCACTGTTGTGAATAATCGGAGTTTGGATATTAGGAGGTGTGGAGTTAACAAAAATATGTTTCAGAGGGCTGAGGAGGGGGATTGAGGGGAATGGACATTTATGAAGCTGTTAGGAGAAAAAAAGATGTCTAGGTGGGCGTACAGCTCTGTAGTGGAGGGAAGGAGGGATAAGTGTCATTTTTGGAAAGGTTGGAGGGAGAGGGTAAAGGAGGTTTTGAGTGCTAGGGACTTCGACATCCACCAATCTTGTGTGAGCGTGATAGAATTAAGTGGAGGCAAGTGTTTTTTTTTTATAATATTTTGACGTGTTGAGGTGAGCAGGGTAACATTTATGAAGGGATTCTGGGAAACCGGTTAGCCTGATATTGAGTCCTGCACAAAGAGGGGATGAGGATGTTCCGGTTTAGAGGGCCCTTCTGGCAAAGATAGTGAATTGAATGTGTGATAAAGTGTTTTAGTTTATGGGTCACCTACCTCGGGCGGAGACTGGCAGGAGGGTTTAAAATAAATATGGGCCGAAATACTTTTGATCGGATTAACAACGACTTATATAAGAATGGAGAAAATTATAGTGAGTTTCAGTTTTAAACTGCTTGATATATAAATACGACTTGTGTATAACGTGTAGTGTGATGATATTTTTTTTTTTCTAGCTGAATTTGTTACAAAGAAAAGTTACTCCGGAAAACTGTAGAAGAGCAGCACAACAAGATGTTGATCACAAGCCATGGAGAGAACTGTGCACAACAATATTTCCCTGGTATGACACATCAACTTCATGTCATCGTTCAGTGGTCTCAAAGACCATGGTTATCACTATGCTGCAGCTTAACAATCACAGTAAAATATAATATATGTGTTTTACATGAACATAATTTAGAAGTACTTAAGTTCTGTATGTTTTTATATTCGGCATTGAAGATACTTTTATTAAGTTGCATTGCATTGAATAAATCAATTTACATTTATATGCATAATAAATCTTAGATCTTCATTATACTCCCATCCATTTGTATATATGTGAAATTAGTGATATATGATTAAACAACAAATAATGAGATGGTTCATTGTACGTTAAAATTATGGGTAGTTTTTAATATTAGTGATTTATTTTTTAATTAACCGTGATTGTTTTAATATAGTATGAGAATATTCATTTTTATATTGTGCTTCTTGGCTTCATTTTTTTTCTATTTTATTCTATTGGCTTGATAAGGTTAGTGTGTCTAGCTGTATTAAGCTTTATTAAAAAGCTCTGATGAATGATCTGATTATTAGTCAGATTTGCTTAATCAAACTTCGCCTTATATAATTACTGCTTTCGTCCAGTGCTGCATACTCGAGGTGTTGCAGATACTTAGAAGGCAGTGACAGAATATATGTGAAGAATCACTTGGACAGACTAGTGAATCAAGCTATTCATTAATGCAGTTTCAAATAATCGATGAAATCTGTTAAACATGGGAGTTTTAGAGATTAGGGCAGAATACGCAAGTCAAAGCGTTGAATAAATAAGAGCGATGTCAGCACTGGCTGCTGGGGAAAGCCCGGGGATTGATGGGATATCCTGTTAAATTTTACGTCAAAACGAATGGGAGTTTACTAAGTTCATTCCACCTCACGGAAGGTTCCTTGTATGTTGGGCTGAGAGGATTCTTGAATTTAGGGAATTGGATCTGTGCTCAGTTCCCCGAATTAAGCATGAACTGCACTTTCTACATCTCCTCCCAGGGCGCTGTACGCCAATCCCTACTGGGTTTAGCGCGTACCCTCTTGATTATATATAATAATAATACTACGTTCATTGCGGAGCGCTAAATTCGAAGAATGGACAGGCACATTCAGACTCGCATTCAACGAACTGCAGCACAGGGCCCTTGCAATTCCTTAAATCTCAAGTAGCTCCACTCGCCAGCATCAAGGGGCCCCTCGCCAAGCCAAAGCTCAAGAGCCCTCGACCAGCATCAACAGCCCCTCGACAGCATTCAAGAGCCCTCGACAGCATCAAAGAGCCCTCCACAGTATACAAGAATTCCCTCATCAGCATCATACACAGCTCCCTCGACAGATCAAGAGCCCCTCGACCAGGCATCAAGAAGCCACCACTCACCTGTATCAATGAAATCCACTCATCTAGCATAAGAGCCCCATCGTCGCAGCATCATGGACCTGCTTGAAAAGTGGAAGCTGCTGAAAGGTGTTTTTGATTAAATTCACGAGGCTTCATGAAAAAAATTGGGTAAGTTTGGTCAAACCGGGAAAAGACCTTGAACTAATATTTACTAACAACTTAAATACGCTGCTTTAAAAATGGACATCAGTGCTAATCTCTGTTTATTTTATATGAAGATTTTAACTATTCCAAATTATTTTCAAAGGTCAAGAAAGTTGATAATCAGTAAGGTCAAGTGGTTGAGAGAAATATAATAGAATACAAGCTCTTCATCAAAGTGTATGTTTTGGAAATTTAAATCGCTAACTATTGGTTTAGGATTATACAAATTAGATTCGTTTATGATTAATAAAATTTGGCAAGAATTTAAGCTATTTTGGAAAAGTTAGTGGAATGAAATTTGGGAAGAATATAAGCTATATTTGACAAGTCTTTGACCATCTCACTCTCATCATATAAGGGACAGGTGAGTTGTCGGATGCTGACCGTGAGGTGTTATCTTGCCCTATAAAGTAATGGAAATTGAGTTATATATACCGAAAAATAGCTTAACTCTTTGGCAACATAATGGTACCAGAATGAATGTTATACGAGGTTTCTACAAGAAATTATAATCATTTATATCAGGTATGGTGACGGCGATGTGGGTAGCGAGTCTGCTCACAGCCTATATATTTTTTGGAATTTTTCACTCATTTTTTATCTATTTTTCTTGCATTTTTCTTTCTAATATAATAACTGACTATTTGGCATCATAAAACACGTAGGCGGTAGCTTATTCGTATGACCTTAGAGCCAACCAGGGCACCATCTGGGGAGAATGCTCGGCAGTACTCCCCGCTCAGAGAGTGGCAGGAGAAATCACTTCTTTATTACGCTTATATCAGCTTACATATAAACTCTACGGCTTATTTTATCTATCAGAATTGATCTAATATGATATAATTAAAACACTATAAATAACATACAAACATGTTATATACTGTAGATGAATAAAATAAGCCATAATATGGGCCGAAAGAACCATCGGGAAATAGTTTCGATTATGTATCGTGTCAATCCTCTCCATGTGTATTTTTGGTTTCTTGAGTAACGAGGGGAAAACGGTGTTTTGAAAGCGGGATAACTGCACTAGAAGACATCAGTTTACTAAGAAATACACCCAACAAACTCGATTCTCGCGAAATTTTTTTTTTCGAGACACTGGGCGGGCCGGCCGGGGCTTCCAAGGCACATATCTGCGGAAGTAAACTTATTCACCTATATTCCATAATTCTTCATTTATTACTTAATTAAAATGAATAATATTCACAACAAATTGTAAAAGTTAATGATTTCCTCTATTTACTAAAATAAAGTAAGTAAAGTAAAGTAAGTAAATTTATTCAGTATACACAATACGTTACATTAGAATTATCATACATGCAGAATATGTTGTAGAGAACCTAGGATAACCCAAAAAAAGTCAGACAGAGTGACTATTTAACCATTGGGGTCCTTTTAACTTATTATTATTAATATAACGGTTATATTATTTTCTTATTATTTTCAATGAACGATAACATCTTATTATCATACTATAAGAATGACCATCTACTACACGAGGGTCATTAAGACTATCTGCTATACGCGAGGGTCATTTATAGGAATTACAGGGTAAAATTTACAAAGTATTTTGCTAAAAAAATAGAAAAATCAATTCCCCTCCCTTTCTGTGAGTTTACATTCATCAGAAACTTTTTTGCGTCTTACTTGAACCAGGTTTCATGCTGATGACTGGCTTTGACATGTGCGGGTAGTCTGTGTCCATTCCTTTATGCTGTAACAATAAAAGGTGTTTAGTTTTGTTTGACGCCTGGCTCACTGACCTTTGTGGGTACTACAAAGTTGTGCCCTCTCTCCACCCTAGTACTATGATTGCTTTGGTTCCAAACCTTGTCAAAATTGTCAGCAAGATATTCTGGACATGTTTTCGGTGGTCAATTTTATAATACATGATTTAGCTTCTGTTGTTTTATCTGTGCTTCAACATTCAGCATACTCAACTGCTGTAATTCATCCTGGCCTACATGTTCTCTATGGTCCCAGCACCCAGAGATAGTATGAATTTTACGGATTTATGTTCTGGGTGATTTGCAGTCTATCTTTCATTTTTTTTTGTCAAGGCAGAGTACCATGAAGAGCAAAGCGTATAATCCAT